TTCGATAAAGTTCAATGCCGTGCATGTTGTTTGACGTTCCTAACAGAACCCAACAATGACGACATAGCAGTACGTCCCTTTGCTCGTCACAAAACTCACCTTACTCTGATCTTCAGGGTACAACGGAATCTGGTGATATCCCTGATATGCATCCATCATACTCAGCAATTCGCAACCAGCCGTAGAGTCGACTATCTGATCAATTCGTGGTAAGGGATAATGATCTTTTGGGCAAGCCAAGTTTAAGTCACGAAAATCGATGCACATGCGCCATTTGTTTAGTGCCTTCCTCACCATTACGGTGTTGGATATCCACTCGGGGAATTGGATTTCTTTGACGTGCCCCGCTCGCAGCAACTTATCGACTTCAATGGCTTTGTCGATTTCTTCACCATGGCGTCTAAGTCGTTGTTTTATTGGCTTGCTGAGGGGTTCAACGTTGAGTTTATGCTCCATAATAGTGGGATCGATCCCCGTCAACTCCTCAGGGGTGAAGGCGAAAACATCCCTGAACTCCTTTAGTAATGCGATGAGTTGGTTTCGCAGCTCGTCTTTCAGATCTTTCTCGACCTTAGTGGTCTTTCCTTCGTTTCTCCAATTTGTATTTCCATTAGCTCCCCGTGTGGTTCAAGATCACTATTCCTTGGCTTTTCTCGCTCAACATTGGTTTTTTCCCTTCCTTAACTTCTGCCCGCTGGTTGGTTTTTACAGCGATTTGATAACAAGTCCTCGACAGCTTTTGATCGCCTTGAGCTTCTCCAACTTGGTCTCGGACTGGGAACTTTAGCTTCATATGGTAGGTTGATACCACAGCCTGGAATGCATTAAGCGCTGGCCTCCCCAAGATCACGTTGTAAGCTGACTCGACATCGACCCCCACGAATCTCACCATTTTTACCTTCCGCAAGTTACCTTCCCCTAGGAAGACAGCGAGCATGGTCTCCCCTAGGGGTGCGACCTCTGACCCGTTGAAACCGAATAGCGAGGTATGGAGGGGTGTGAGCTGTATGTCAAGCTCCATCCTCTTGAGATAGTCATAAAAAATCACATTTACGGAGCTCCCATTGTCGACCAAACACTCTTTGCACTTCATATCCTGATACTTGGGCAGTTATCATCAATGCATCATTGTGAGGTCTTTCAATCTCTCCGACATCTGCTGGCCCGAAGTTCATTACCGGTCCATTCTCGTCGACTTGTTGTACCTCGACTTTCCCATGGCGTCCTCGGGCATACGCTTTCCTCGCTCGATTCGAATCTCCATCAGTCGATCCTCCAAATATCATATGTATGACTCCCCTTTTCTGAGGGAGCTCCTCTTTCTCAGGTGTTCTCGCCCTCTTGCGAGGACTCCGACTTCTCTATCTCATCCTGCTCGACTTTTCCCGATCCTTGTATAAGAATTCCTTCAAGTGTCCTGCCTTAATTAGCCTTTCGATCTCGTCCTTAAGATGTCTGCAGTCGTCAGTATTGTGCCCATAATCCTTATGAAATCGACAGTATAGATTACTTTTTGGTCTTGTTGGTCTGTCTTTCCTCGTCTTGGGCCATCTGACGACGTTGCCATGAATTTCTCTTTCCATTACCTCCAAAATTTGCGCTTGGGGGGCGACAAAGGGGTATATTGAGTCGGCCTCCAATCTCTAGATCGCCCGTCTCTTTCTGCTCGTGTGGACCCTTTCCTTTCTTCGGTCGAAGAAATTTTCTTATCCCTCCTCTCATCCCGAGAGTCAACTTTACTCACTTTAACCGCCTGCAAGAAGTTGGCTTCAGCTTCCTCACATTCATATACTTCGCACATCTCCCCAATACTTCATCAAACGTTCTCCCCGGGCGCTTTGCTAAAGAATTCCTGCATAGGCCCGGTAACAACCCTCGAGTCAAACCTCCTGCCTTGATTTTCTCCGATGCCCTGGGCACTTCGACGCACGCTCGCGTATATCTCGCCACATAATCTTGCAGTGACTCGCCTTCCCACTGCTGAATGCCCATCAATGTCAGATACGATTTCTCTTGTGGTTTGACACTTGCAAATTGATTGAGAAAGCTCGCGTTGAATCCCTCAAATTCCTTGATGGCTCCCGCTGGCAGTTGATGAAACCAATCCTGTGCAGATTGTTTGTCCCATTTTTGTGTCTTTATTTTGGGTTATTTTCTCTTTATTATTCCCCACTTATAGGATTTTCGTGGTTTATTTGGTCCAATTCTGTGTTTTTCCGTTTTTCTCTTCAGTTTCATTTGGTGCGTCTTTTTGCGGTGTTTTGCTTCGTGTTTTTTCCGTGTTTGTATTTTCAGGAGGTAGGTTGTGTCGGCCGAGGATGAGACTGCTAGAGCTGAGACCGGGAAATCAAGAATACCCATAGTCGTGCCCAGAACACTGAAGGAAGGACCGGAAAAACGGACTGAAGAGCTGCCCAGCATTTCTCGCGACTCGCGAGTCAAAGTCGCGACTCGCGAGATGCTCGCGACTCGTGAGACGTTCACGACTCGCGAGTCCAACAGAGCGAATTCAAGATTTTCACGAGATGAGTCGCGACTCGTGAGTCTATGTCGCGACAAGCGAAATGATGTCGCAACTCGCGAGACATGGCGCGATTTACCCCAGATTTTAAATATTTTCGAAGACGCGCGACTCGCGAGATTTCGCGACTCGCGACTTACGTGGCGCGATTTTCGAGGACGGGTTTTGAACATCAGAATTTCGACCTAGACATAATTATTCACATTCCAGACTTCGTTTTTACACTTTTTCTCTCTAGAAACTCATTCCTTTTCATACTTTTGCTATTTTGGATTGGTTTTGGAGATTAAAACTCTGTTTTCTGGCTTGGATTTGGATTGTTCAGTGGATTTGACATTGGGATTCTTTTATTAATCGTAAGTTCTTCTTTTCTCAATTGTGTGATTGATGATGATGGCTTGGGTTTTTATGAGTTTTGATGTTGAATTTCATATGAGTAGCTAAATCCATACGCTAGGGATAGGGGATGATTGATTAGGTTCGATTATAATTGCTTGTTCTTAATTGTTCATATCTATTCAAGTTGTTCTTATTCTAGGGCTAGTAGATTGATCACCTTTCTAACAAATTAATCAGCGTGTAGAACCGAGAGGGGAGACGTTGGTCGATATAGGCTTGTTTAGAGTAGACTTGTCCGTAATAGTATTGTCTATGAGTTGTTGGAATTGATAGTTGATCGTGTACGTTCATTCTCTTGTTACGAAGAGTTATTGAGAGTGAACCTCTGGACGAGAAACGATTCAAGTCCCTTAACCGAGCAATTGATTGCCGGTAGTTGTGTTAGAACCGAAAGCAATTGTCCCTGATTTCCTAGCACTTTAATCATTCGAGTTTATTCACTTGCTATTTAATTTGTTTGCTTTAGTTTTAAATCCTTAGCTGTTAATTAAAACCCCAAAATTATTGAATAAGAGTGTTTAGGAATTTTTCTTTTCTTTCTAGTGATCGAATAATCGTACAATTGTATCCAGCTAACCTTCCTTGCGATACGACCCGGGGAACGAATCTTTCGATTCTACTCCGGTAAAAATACTCTCAACAAAATTGGTGCCATTGCCGGGGAGGGTTTAGGACTTTAATTTTGCGCCTATTCGTTTATTTTTCGTGTTTCTTTTGTTTTCTTTTTATTTGTTAGGTGTTAGTTCTTTGTTTTCTTTTGATTTCGTTTTCTTCTTTATTTTATTTTGTCTATCATTGGTGCTCGTAACCTTGTTGGTCTTAGTGTATGCGTACCAGGAGTGGACGCAAACTGCTATTGCCGATCAACAAATCAGTTAACGAGAGCCTGAGGGAGCTGCTGGAAGAGCTCACTCTGGAATCGCAAGGGGAAGACGAACATTCTCCAAAATTATCAGAAGGCAGCAACCTAGATATGGGTGAACGACAACAACAAGCTCCACGTAACACCCTCCGAACCTTGGCCCAGCCGGTTATCGGGCCAGTCACTTCATGCATTCGTTTGCCGGACGCTGCACGAAACTACGAGCTCAAAATGATTCACTACAACCAGCTGCCGGCATTCCACGGGCTTCCAAGCGAGGACCCACTCAACTTCATCCGAGAATTTTACAATGTCCTCAACAGTTTCCCTCTCAATGACCTTAATGACGAGCAGTTGAAGTTGAGGTGCTTTCCCGAGACTCTGAAGGACCGGGCCAAGGCCTGGTTCATGACACTTGCACCCGGCTCTCTCACTACATGGACCGAGGTGTACTCAAAGTTCATTGGGAGG